GATGTACAAATGCGCTTTACACAATTGATGTGTGTATGGATTGGGATAAGAGTTGTATGAGCCCCTAATAAAATGTTAAAAAAATAAATAAATAAAATAAAATTTGTATTCATAAAAAAAAAACCCAAACACATCATTTAGTAAAATTTGGCTAGTAGTGACTCTGTATAGCATTTCTGAGAGTACAAACCCTTGCAGAAGTACAGTCTCAACTTTCTGCCTCGGAGCAAATGATGTGTTGGAAGTACCCACCTTGTGGTCACCCTAAGGCTTCACACACAGCACCACCAGGGCACCTTCGAACATTCTACCAACATTAAAAAGCCAGACTCACTGCCATCAAGACAATGCTGACTCATAGTTCCCCTGCAGGGCGGGGTAGGCCTGCCACCCACGTTCCACTGACTGCAAGTCTTTACAGGGACAGAAAGCCCAGCTTTCTTCAGAGGAGCTTGCTGGTCACCTTGCATATACAGCCAAACACATAGCTACTATGTCACCAGAGTTCCGTATGGAACAGCCAACTAGTAAGGGCTGAAGCAGTGGGAAAAGCTAGCTTCAGGATACACACAGCAGGCCCCCAGGGCCCCTCAGCAAAGCCAACATTGGTGGTTTGAATCAGAAGTCTCTAGGATGGAAACAGAGGAGGCTGAGGTTTCCCAGCACGTTTGTCCCCGAGTCTTTCAGGGATGCTCTGATTGGGCGTGGGATTTTGGCTGTGATGAGAAGCTGTTCTGTCACCGGTGTTCCGTTCTCTCACATGGAGGACTTGCGGCTGCTTCCCTGCAGAGGGTGACTCCTCAGGCTTGCCTTGCTGCCCCGTGATGCTGCCTTGCACACCATCTTCTGCTGCCCTTTGCTCCTGCCTCTCGCTGCTGACGTCCCAGGGAAGCCACAAGTAGTTCTGTGCTCTGGACCGTGGTGGCCACTGAGTGCACTGTTCCAGTCAGTAGCCCTCCACTCTCCCGTGGCTCCTGGACATTCTTATTTGGTCAAAGCAACCTTAGTGGCTTTTCTTTTACTCTTTCTGTTTAGGGTCGTATTCCAGTCAAATGGATGGCGATTGAGTCCCTTTTTGATCATATCTACACCACCCAAAGTGACGTGTAAGTGTGGGCATGGACTACTCGACTCAGGGGAGGTCTCAGAGCTGCAGCACACGTGGAAGAGGGTTAAGTGTGTGTGTGTGTGTGTGTGTGTGTGTGTGTGTGTGTGTGTGTGTGTGTGTACAGCTTAACTGTGGGGCAGTTCCGGCCCTAGGCACCATTAACTCATAGCCTCCATTCACGGGGACTCTGAAGCCTAGGGAGATTTGTGTAGCATGTGGTCAGGGTCCAGGCTGGAGTGGGATGTGTGGTCTCAAATCTGCCCTCCCCCGCTACTTTGGGCCTCTTCCTGACCCACTCTGAAGGACACTCCTCTCTGGAGACAGCCTGTAAACAAATGAGGCCCTAACCGCTTGAGAGCTGGCACCAGAACTTCATGTTCAGAGTTGAGTGACTAGACCTGAAGTTTTCAAAATCACAGGTGACTTGAGTCTAACTGCTCTGCCGTCCACACACGTGTATTTTGAATAATGTGGGCTGTGAGAGTTCTTAAATAGAAACAGTTCGTAGACTTAGTAATGCGTTTGTACATTGACTGTATGAAAATTGAACAATGCGGAGGAAAGCACCGGACCGAAACCAAACCCCCTGCCGCCAGGTCAATCTCAACTTATGACAACCCTCTCGGGTGGAGTAGAACTCCCTTTTGGCTTTCAAAAGCCTCATCTTTCTCCCATGGAGTCACCGGCAGGTTCAAACCACTAACCTTGTGGTTCGTGGCTCCACGCATCACTACGCCACCAGTGTTCCTTGGAGAAAAGCACAGAGGAAAGGAAAAGCTCTTGAACCACATGACACATAAGTGAGACTCCTGGTATACAGGTATAGTTTTATTACCATAAGTGGGCTTGTTCATGCAGCCTCTTTTGTAACAGTTTTCTTTCCTCTTAGCAGGAAATTTCACCTCAGAGTTAAATAGTTCCCATAGTACTGCTTTATTTTCTTCGAAAAGTTGATGAAATGATTCAAACACACAAAAAAGACAAAAGAATTGTACCGGGAACCCCTTTGGCCCCTCACCTGGATTCTACATGTGGCTCACAACTGTCATTACTTTCTCATATTTTCCCCTGCTCTCCACCCACTTCCATCCAAGCCTGGGCTCCATCACATTAGGAGTTCGCTCCCTATTGTGGCCCCTGTGTGTGTCCCGGCAGTGTACAGGGATGGAGTTTGCACGGCGGCCGCCAGAATGTGCCTCTTGGCTCTCACAGGAGTGGTTGGAGGGGTGAGAGGAGACCTTCCATCCTGCAGCCACCCAGGCTTAGCTTCCTGAAGACTTCTACATGTAGGGGACAGGCTGGCGGTCCCCTGGTCACTGATCTCTACTAAGGGTCAGACCAGGAGGTGGGTGGGGTAATGTCTCAGCAGCAGAGAGCACACGGGCCTGGGAAAAGCTGCTCACTCTGCTGTGCTCTCCACAGGTGGTCTTTTGGTGTCCTGCTGTGGGAAATTGTGACACTGGGAGGAAACCCCTATCCTGGGATCCCTCCAGAGAGGCTCTTTAACCTCCTGAAGACGGGCTACCGGATGGAGAGGCCTGACAACTGCAGCGAGGAGATGTGAGCAGAGCTTGCCATGGTCCAGCCTCAGGCTGGGATTGGGGGAGGCATGCACTCACATGCTTCACTTGCCAAGGCAGCACCTGGGGGAGTGGGAAGTGGGGGGTTTGGAATATTGAGGAGGACCTGGAAGTAAGACTCTGAGGGGGAATAGAGAGTGACCCTGATGGGGTGGATGAGGGAAGGGTTGGTGGTTCAGAATGACCCACCTTTTGGGTTATGCCAGAGCTAAGGTACAAAGGCCAGTAGAACATGGGCGCTCATGCTAAGCAGTGGCAGAGAGTGACAGAGACTGGACACAAAGTGATTCTATCCGATGGCACAAGTTTGAGAGCAGGTTAGAAGGGGCCACTTAGAGACTAAGAATGGGTCCTTCATTCCATGAGGTCTAGACCAGGGCTGGGCAAGGCAGTGCAAACATGGGAAGGGCTGTGGTGGGGCCACAGAGTTCAAGGCCAGATGACCCCTCACACATCAACCTGGAAGCCCAGTGGGCTGGCTATGCCAGGAAACCTTGTAAGGAAATAATGCAAAACAGAGTTGTGATTTACAAAGGTCTTTTTGAGATTTCTTTGTTTGCTTTTTATGTACACACTGCCTTCCTAAGGACTAGCATTTTCACCTCAGCCATGATGCGAACCTCTATCTGATCAGCTGCCAACAATGTCTTTGAAAGGGAAGTAAAATAAAAACCTCTTAGAGCAGTGGTTCTCAACCTTCCTAATGCTGCGACCCTTTAAGACAGTTCCTCATGTTGTGGTGACCCCCTCCCCCCAATCAAAATTATTTTCGTTGCTACTTCATAACTGTAATTATGCTACTGTGATGAATTGGGCGACCCCTGTGATAGGGTTGCTCGATCCCCAAAGGGGTTGTGACCCACAGGTTGAGAACTGCTGTTTTAGAGGAAAAGATCTTACAGGTGCTGAGGGCCTTCGCTCAGAGCCTGACCAGATGCTTGTCCAGCAGTTCTGAAAGGGGGACATCAACAGGGCAGAAACTGTGTTGGGGCCAGCTCAGGGTCATGGCTGGGTGGGCCTTGCCTAACCCTCTACTGCTCCCCCCTCAGGTATGGTCTGATGCTACAGTGCTGGAAGCAGGAACCAGACAAGAGGCCGGTGTTTGCTGACATAAGCAAGGACCTGGAGAAGATGATGGTGAAGAGCAGAGTGAGTTCCTGGAGTCAGCCTTCTGTGAGCCGAATGTGGCGCTCCAGGGACTTCAAGACCAGCTGGTGTGCTGGGCAGTGGGCTTAAGCACATGGCGGGAACCGTGCCAAGGCTTCGCACCATTCTTTCAGAGGGGGCTACTGTGCTGTTCCCTGAGGCCAGGCAGCAGACTGAACCCTTCACCGAGAACACAAGACACTTAACCCTTAGGAAGAGCAGGTTACAAACAGGTGGGAGAGGAAAGATTCCCCAGTCGGGTGAAGTGGTTCTCATTAATGGAATGAATGTGAGAAAGAGTTGAAGCAAGCATCAGACATTGGTCAGGCACTTTGAGAGAGCAGGCTCGGATGGTGCATAATTAAGGAGTGGACATTTAGCCGAATGTGACCAGGTAAAAGTGAGCCCCATGATGTCAGATCTTCTGAATTGTAAGAGCTGTTTATGCTAAGTCTCCCAGTTTATAATGTTAGTCACTTGTTTAACAATGTAAAAGCACAGTAGTGGGCCAGACAAAACCTATTTAGGGCCACACACGGTTTCTAACCTCCAGTTCACAGCCCTATAAAAAGATGCGCAAGTCAATATATTTTTGACTAATATTTGTTGAGCATTTGTTATAGACTTCAAGCAATCTTAAACTCTGGGACTACAAGTAAACAAGATAAATTAGACTGGCCCTTGTGGCATTCACATAACAGCCTGGTCGTACATTGGCATATTGACTAAAATTTCTCATTTACCCAAACACAAAAATCAAGAAGCATGCTCACGGTCCACTTGTAACTTTAACATGCGCAAATTTGGGGCGGGGGGTGGGGGGGTGGGGGGGAACCTACACATCCTGGAAATGCAGGATTGCTGTAAAGAAAAAAAATAGGCAATATTAAGAAGCCAACTTTGGGGAACATTACTGAGAACAGCTGGGAAAGTGCTGAGACCATTCTCTGCAGACTTACCCAGAGCCATGTGAGTGACAGCATATGAGAAAATCCATGTGCTTGGAAAGTAGAACTCGTTACCGTGCCAGGTATAAGACCAACCACATCCCTTATCTCACTAATTTCCCTAGGATCTGCCATAGTGTGCTAGACGCCAGGGTCCTGGAGGGAAGCCAAAATGTCCCACACAGCTGTGGTGCTGGCCGTGCGCTTCTTTCCAGGCTGTGTGTCAGCATGAGCTGTAGAACGCAGTGAGCTCCCCCAGCCTAGGAGTTTCCTTAAATAGTTACCAGGTGTTGGGAAGGAGGGGCCATGCTGACCATGGGGCCAGCCAGGGCTGTTCCCCACTCCACCCCCTCCCACCCTTTATTCGATGTGTTTGGTGGCCTGCACAGTAAAGAGAGCCCTGTATGGCACGATTAAGATGGTTTGTGTACACCCCAAATGTACCTCAGAAGAAAGGCCTAGTGGTATACTTCCTAAAAGTCAGCTATTGAAAACCTTGTGGAGCAGAGTCCCACTCCAACAAAGGTGGGGTGCACTGAATTGGAATCAACTTTGCAACAATTGGTGTCGTTTTTTAATTTTGGCCAGTGAATGGGGTGCATTGCTGCCTTTCCAGCAGAAGAGATAGAGTCGAGAAGCACAAAGTGGGGGGGGGACCAGGGCACAGGGACTACTGGGCCTCGCTGTCATGGACTTCGTCTGAGAAGATGTTGGAAGGCAGCTAGGCAAGGAAGGAGTGGGGATTGAAGAGCAGGGCCCCAGATCAAGGGACAGCACCAAGAATGGTCCAAGGTAGTTACAGTGACCAGTGCTCCTCTCTTCACAGGATTACTTGGATCTTGCTGCGTCTACCCCATCCGATGCACTGCTCTATGATGATGGCCTCTCGGAAGAGGAGACCCCCCTCGTGGACTGTAATAATGCTCCCCTCCCTCGAACCCTCCCTTCCACCTGGATTGAAAACAAACTCTATGGTAGAATTTCACATGCATTTACTAGATTCTAGCAACACCAGACTTGATTTGTTTTCCCTTTGCACTGTCTTTCTGCTCTGTGATGCCTTTGAGAATATTTCTGGTCTGAATGAAGCCAAAGTCAACTCTGAAGCTTTTATTTGTGAATGTTTGACTTTGCATCGGGTTTATATTTAGGAATTTTGCAAGTTTTGGTTTTTTGTTTTTTTTAAAGGATGTGAAAATAAGTGTAAATGTTACGATACCCAGAAACATCAGATGAGAAAGGGGCCAGGCAGACAGGGAACACCTGAGAGCTGAATCACTTCTGAGTGGCTGTGCAGTGCCCACACTTCAAATTAAATTGCCTGCATAAATTGGCCAAATTTAAGGAGGCATTTTATTTACAAAAGAAGCAACCAGCTGTACCTGGCCTGCAATGAGGACACAGCACTGTGCTAGGTGGGCAAGGGCCTATTCTAACCTCATGTCCGCCGTAAGACAGTGCGTGAGGTATCGAGAACGCGAGCACACTGCCATTTTCACATCCTTTGATTCACCCTGTCCCGATGGTTCTCACGTCTCCGCGATCACCGCTGACAGCTGGAACAAATGCGTTTTAAAACATGTTTCCTGTGGTGTGGTGGTAATGAGATGGACAGTAAATATGGTTCTTGCCAAAACTCCTCCTTTTGTCTTCAATTACATATTTGAACTTTTTAATTTCATCATCAGTTGCTTTAAGATCTTGGAGTTGAAAGCATTTTTCAGCAGAGATTGTTCCTTTCTGCATGCCTCCTGAAGCAATGATTACTTACTGGCAATGGGTCTAGGGCTTATATTGCTTGCATTTGTCTTAATGATACCGTGAGTTCATCTGTATAGGCCCTCCATTTGGAAGGTTGTCTCCACCATGGTAGACTTTGACAGCAGATGATTAGGCTCCTTTAAGTTGAGGTGTTGTTTTTTGTGGGGGTTTTTAAATAGTGCAGAAGCTTCCTGTTGCAGTCACCCTGTTAGTATAGCAGTGTGCTGAAACTTTACGCTGCCTTAGAAACGGAAGTAAATAATTCACAAAGAGATAACAGATCTGAGAGTTTAAGCCCATGAAATTCAAATTTGGCAGTTCCTGTGAAGTTTACACTCTTAATAAAAAGGCACTTGCTATTTCCCCTAGATATAAAAGTGTTTTGGAAACCTGGATCACAGCCGTTAATATCATTGACACAGAAACCAGAAGTTTGGTTTGGACATCAAAGGGAGTTTTGCCAAGGCCTTACTGTCTGCACATGGAGTTTTGATTCTTCAGTGCAGAACAAATGATCTGTTTTCATTTTTAGGCATGTCAGACCCGAACTGGCCTGAAGAGAGCCCTGTACCACTCACAAGATCCGATGGCACTGACACTGTGCTCCCAAGATATGCAAATGATAGTGTATATGCTAACTGGATGCTTTCACCCTCAGCGGCAAAATTAATGGACAGGTTTGATAGTTAATGTTTCCTTGTAAGAGATGATGGACTCATAAGGGAAAGCAACATGGCAGCAGTGGAGAAGCCACCGGCTGCTTCTTTGTGAAATTCAGACTGGCTCAGCCAACAGTAATTTCCAAGGTGGCAAACTCTTTTTCAATAGTGTGTTTTAACTGCCCTTCAAAGTAGCTTCACTTATGATAACTGGTCATTCCCCCGCCCCCAGGGAAACATATCAAACTGGATAAGAGTTATAACTCAAGTGTTTATTTATTCTTTCTTATTCAGTACCCTGCTGAATCCAGGGTTGGTATGTGTTTATCAGTAGGAACTATATAGTTTATGCATACAAGTGTTTAGGCTTGTCCCATATCTAAAAAACTGTACCTGACCTGTTTGATTTGCCTTGTTGCCACCAAACAAGGCAATGAGATTTAACCATGAAGCACACTCACAAAAAGGCAGCAGAAAAAAAACCCAAAAAAACAGGACAAAGTTACCTGCACTTGTTTCAGAAACAGAGCCCAGAAAGATCTGAGTAGTGATATAAAAAGTCCCACCAAGACTGGAGAGGGGGGGGGGAACCTTTGAACAGGCCTCATCTTAGCATTTAATATCCTAAAGATGAATTTTTAAAATCAGGTCACTGTTTCTTAGGAAGACACTTGATTTTGATCATGTTTAAAATGATTCATAGATTTAGCACAATGGAGAGAATGAAGAGTATTTAGACAACGGATGTGAGGAGAAAGGTCCCATAAGAGATCTCTGTCTCCATTACATCACTGCAGCATCCTTCTCTGTTCAGCACTGAGTGAATATTGACCCATGCACAGGACTGGCGTGGAGGAGGTGCGTATGTGAGTGGAGTGGCCTTTGGTCTGTGAGTTACCGACCACAGAGATTTCACTGCTGTGGGTTCCAGCCCCATCAGTTTTCCACTTACTGTCTTGCCAAGCTCCAAAGCAGTAGCACATCCTATGCCTGGGAGTATGTGACGCCTGTGTTTATTTTATCCACTTCTTTATAAAAGGGACATTTCAGCTTATTATGTTAGAAGTACTATTAACAGTAACCAAAGACTGCTACACCTGTGATCACAGTATCGATGTGGGCAAAACCATGTTCTGGCTCTTATAGAGCTTGTATGAAAAAGCATATGTAGCAGCCCTTCTTGTGTTTGTAATTCACTCTTGCTCTAGCCAAAGGGTTTTGTTTCTAAGATTCTGACTGTGGCCATACGCTTCTTGTTACTCTTCAGGGGTTGCTAGTGGTCAGACATATTCAAAACACGCCCTCAGTCTCGTGGGCTGCCTTTCAGGAAGTCCTGGGGGCTCTGCAACTGTCACCACTCACCCTCCTCCTCTCTGTAAGTTTGTAGGATAGAGTCAGGTTGCCAAAACACTGCCTGGTATTCAGATTTAAAGCACTGTGTTCAGACTTAAAATAATTTTATTGAAATACTATATCTTATAGACATTTCACATGTGTAAACTTATTTCAGAAAGACAGGAAGTCATATATGTGGTGGAGGCTCACATAGGTGCCTGTGCAAGCACAGCCAGAGATTCGAGACTACTTACTGGATATGTGTCGTGGCTTTCGTTTCAGCCACTTTCCAGATACACTGTGATAGTTCTTTTATAAATATTTTCAGTTATTGTAAATTTTTTGTTTTCATATGTGTTTAATGGTAGTCTCATTAAATGCAGAAATACTGATAAGCTCCCTGAAATTATTTGAGACGCCTGTTAAGTAAGTATGAATTGCTATAACAGGTTTGTTCTCGGTGAGGGGAGAACGCCACAGCTAAATGGCTGACCCAGAGCTAGGAAGTTAGCCCTCACTAGTAATCTAATGATCTGTTCTGGAGTTGTCAACAGACCCATATTTATCAGTCCTATCGGGAAGACTTTTCATAGGCATATATGTAGAAGGTATTAAATATTAAGCATTACTGAATATTAAGTAGTAATTGTTAACATTTGTAAAATCTATCTATAGAAGGCAATTTGTTTTTGTAATCAAGGTGACTAAGAAAGCAATTTCAGTTCTGTAAATAAAGCCATGTATCATGAAATGTGTAAACTTATTTCCTTAACTTCCTAGTTGTAAACATCAGATTTAAAATGTTGATATTTCAATGCAAAAATGAAAATATCACAAGCAAATTTACCATGCTACTCACTGGGGAATTAATAGAGATAGAAGGGCTAGAAGACTTTGGGTGATATTACTGACTCTCCTTGCGGAAAAAATAAAGTGTGTGTGTGTTTGTGTTTATGAATATTTGCAGGGACTATTAAACACTCAAAGAGCCCTCATGGTGTAGCGGACTACACATTGAGATGCCAACCACAAGGTTTTAACCCACCAGGCACTCCTCAGGAAAAGATGTGCCGTCTGCTCTTGCAAAGATTTAAAGTCTTGGAAACCCAGAGTGACTGTCCTACTCTATTCCACAGGATCACTGTGAATCTAAATCAACTCAGTGACAGTGAGCTTGGTTTTTCATTTTTATTAAAAACAGTCAACCCTGTAAGTCAAGGAATTCCACCCTTCAAGATCAAGTGTTCACAGTTCCCTAGTAGTTGTAATTTGCTTGTTGTTCACTTCTTGAAGATGGAGCTAGATAGTCGTGGAGGAGAGAATATAAAATGCACAGTTATGAGTAAAGGTACAAATTATAAATTAGAGGAATTTTTTTTTACCCTGAACCCTAGTGAAGCTTATAATTTTAAATACAAATTGTTATTTCTTCCTGTTAGGTTATATTGTTATTCCTGAGCTATTAAGGATGAGCAGGGGGGAGTCCAGTAGTGAAGACAACTGTTACCAATGAAAGGTGACAGAAGATGGTATTGAATTGTCTGTATGAGGGCCCGTGTCATCTTGTGGGCATGTACATGGCCTGTGTACATGAGCAAATGCATGCAAGCACAACTCCCCTGTAGGTTGCCATAGCTGCAATGCCGCACCTGCTGACCTGTGGTATTGGGTCTGCCCGGTGTCTTCCTCTTCCTAACGAGATTGCAGAAGGAGGAAATAAACAGAGTTTCTAAAGTCAGATATTTTCTTCACACTTGAACTCCATATGATTAGAAACCCATGCCAAGAAAAATATCCAAAGTCCCCTTTCCAAAGGCATGTGCTCCTTTGGGGAGTGTTTTTGTTTTGTTTTGTTGCTTTTGCTTATCCTTAAAAAGCACATTCTTGAACAACCTCTACAAAGCATTCCTGCACACTACAAGACCAGTTGACTTGAGTAGAAATTTAGTTAAGTATACTGTCTAAGTGTAGGGCCTCAACATATACTTTTTACTTTCCTTTATACTTTTCTTCTAAATATGATTTTCTATAAGCATATTTACCTCACTGTTTAAATCTATTCCAAATCAGAGCCAAACCTTAGGACAAAATAGAACTGCTCCAAAGGGTTTCTGAGGCTCTAAATCTTTATGGAAGCAGACTGCCTCACCTTTCTCTCACAGAGTGGTGGGTGGGTTTGAACCACCAACCTATCAGTCATCATCCTAACATTTAGGTGGCTCCACCAGGGCTCCTAAGTGTATTCACATACAGTATATTTAGCTACCCTTGCAATGAGAGGGCTGCTCAAATAGTGCCTTAGACATTCTTACCTCTTACAGCAAGACGGTGGACTGGACACACAGGCTACCCTAGCCCACTCTGAAAAAAGGCTCAAAAATAAAAGCCACCACAACCAAGTCAATTCTGACTCATAGCAACCACATAGCCCTTATGGGTTTTGGAGACAGGAACGCTACAGGAGCAGAAAACCTCATCTTTCTCCTGAGGAGTGACTGGTATTCAAAATGGCCCAACATATTATCAGCCTAACCTGTAACCCACTATATCACCAGGGCTATTATCCAAAGAAAAAGACACAAGAGACCCAATAAAGCATAAAAAATGATATGGCTGGATCTCTGAGTCATACGCTGACTAGAAGAAGTTGGGAAAAAATGGCACATAAGGTGACAATAGCTATGAATTATTCTGACACAGCCTGGTCATTTTACAAGTAGCATTCCAACTGGGGCAGAGATCTACCTGATCATTGGTTTCACTCACCCAGGGTCACACAATCAACCGCACTAGATCTTCCTTTTGTTCCACACACCCTCCCTGGAGAAGGACATCATGCTTGGTAAAGTGGAAGGTCAGCAAAAAAGAGGAAGACCTTGGACGAGATGGACTGACACCGTGACTGCATCAATGGGCTCAGGTATAGGAACAATTGTGAGGCCGGTGTCAGACTGGACAGTGTTTCCTTCTGTTGTGCAGAGGGTCACTAGAGGTTGCAGCTGACTCAGTGGCACCTAACGAACAACAGACCTTCCTGGTGACCAGAAGTGTGGGTAGCCCTGACCACAACCCACTTGGGGGCAGGTGATACACACACCACACCCCTTTCATAGCCCCCTCCACAGTTGGAGGTTTTCCCTAATGGATTGGTTGCCAGGTACATGCCAACCCTATGTTTGAAGGCACACAGAACACTCAAATCACTCTCCAGGGTTTCAGGGAATCTTTCCAGGGCCAGATGCCCTACCCTCAGCTATCCTCTGAGCCAACAGGAATTTGTTCTGAGACCAGACATCCTAACTCCTGCCACATTCTAGACTAACGGACTCCACCAGAATTAGGCACTCTGTTGCTCATGACCTCTGCAGCAAACATAGCATGCTAATCAAAACCAGGTAACCTGTTAGCAGAAGGACCTCCTAGGTGCTGCCATGCCCCACCTCAACCCCAGGTTTTTATTTACTTGGTTTTGTTTTCCTTCTTCAATTTTTCTTGTCTTACTTTTCATATTTTTTCTCTTTTTTGCTTCTCTTTTTCTTATTTTTTTTTTACTAGTCTCATTTTCTTTGTCTCTATTCTATAGTTTTTTTTAAATTTATCCCCCCTTATTTTCTCCTTCCTTTTTTCTTTTTACTTATTTATTGTTTTGCCTTGTACTTTCCATCTCTCTTTTCTTTTCATTCTAATTACCCTTTTTTATTTTATTTTTTTGGATTTTGTTTTTCACCACTTGGCAGGTGACAGTCACTGGGTTCACATTGCTCCACCATGCCTACAGCTCCTACAGCCCCACTCAGTGAATGAGGGCCACCAGTTGCTCTTGCACCATCTCATCAATGGTAAACTGCAGTCAACCCGCTTTGAACCTAGTCTAAACATATACTGAATAGAGAAGTGTGTACACACTTCCATCCTCTATTACAGCCATGTGAGCAAAAAAATGACACCCACTCCATGCATTCTAATTCTTAAAAATAAATTTTAAAAATCCTAGGTAAAACATACCAACATAAAATACAGAGCCAAAAACCATCCTGAGGAAGAAATGGCATGTGAGCTACCAGAAAATGAATTCACAAGAATATTTATGTACCTTCAACAAATGGAGAGAAAGATTAAAGCAATTGCAGATCAAAGAAAATGAAAAAAAACAAACCTCAAGAAAACATTGCAAAACAAACAGAGTAAATGAAACCTGGAAACCATACATGAACAACAAATAGATATTCAAAGATTAATACGAAGATTTGAAAATAATGCAGTGAAAAGGCAAAGTAGGACTAGATCAAAAGAAGATAAAATTAGCAAAAATGAAGACAGGTAGCTCATTACTACATTGTTAGAGTAACAATCAGAGAAGAACGGGGAAAAAGTATAAGAATTACATTGATGATCACTTCTTGGCCTTTTGGCTAAGATCAAATGTAAGAATTACATTGACATCACCAAGACAAATAAAATGTGGATCAGAATTCTAGAACAGAAAAAGACATCCCTAAAAGGTCAGAGAATTGTTGGAAATTTGTTAGAACAAAATTTCTCTAATATTATGAAATATGAGAACATATGCATTCAAGAAGCTGAACAACCCCAAACAAGAGTAACTATAAAAGAAAATTCCCAAGTCACATCAGGACCAAATTTTCCAATAACAAAGGCAAAGAATTCTGAAAGCAGCTCAGAAAACTAACTTATCATGTCATGGCAGAAACCATATAGACAAAAAGACAGTGGGATAGCATATATAAAACTCTGAAACAAAATAATTGCCTACCCAGAAAAACTGTCCCCCAAAGATAATGGTAAAATTAGAACATTTCCAGATAAACAGAAATTAAATAGGTTTGTAAAAACCTGACCAATCCTATAAGAAACACTACAGAGATTTTCTTCAGACAGAACCAATGACAGACAACATCTTGAGACTAGCACATGACAGCATCACCCAGAAGTCAGCACAGATAGAAGTATCTGCATTAGTCTGGCTTGACTAGAGAAACAAATCCAGAGACACTCATATATGTGTAAGAGAGACTTTAGGTCCAAGAGTAATTGCATGTTAAGAAAACATCCCAGCCAAGTCCAGATCAAGTCCATAAGTTTGATATTAACCCATAAGGCCAATATTAGCCCATATGTCCCATACTAGTCCATAAATTATTCTACAGACTCACACAGCATATGCTATGATGCCAAAAGCAGGAAGATCACAGGCCAGTGGGTGAAAAGTCTTGTGTAGGCATCTCAGCACTGGCACAGCTCTCCATGTAGCTCCTCCAGCTTCAGGGTTCTTCCAGCTCTTCCAGCTTCAGGGAGCCCTCAGCGTGGCTCCATGTGGCTTGTCATCAGGAATGCAAAACAGAGAGAGTGTATCCCACCTCCAAGGAGGAACACAGGAGTTCCCAGAATCCTCAGGAGAACATCATGCCCACACAGAGTCATCATTGGCTATGACCTGATTGACAGGCTAGACTCTACCCCTTCACTCATGTTGATGGAACTACTGCTATAAAATTAGAAATCAACAGTAAAAAATGCAGGGCAAAAATAGAACACATGGGAACTCAATAGCACTCTGCTTAAAACTACTGGGTAATCGAAAAATTAAATCAAATCAATCAATTAAAATTTATTTATTTAATTAAATTAATTAATCTATAAATTATTAATTAATTATTATTTATAGTCGATTATTATAATAATTATTTTATTAATTAATTTATTTTTGTTGTTTATGAAATATAAAAGTGT